TCGAGAGCCAGCCCCTGTGGTAGGTTAAAGTTGACACAGGCCTGAGATGGGAACAAACATAGAAGAGAGGCAGAAGAGCTCTGTGCTATTGATTGTCCAAAGGTCAATTGACAGCTTTTCTCATCCTGTTATGTTTTACTCCTTCTAAAGATGTACAGAAAATGTTCTTTTAATGTACCAGACAGATACAGAGGCAGAAGGGAATATGTGGGTAGAACACTTAAGAGAATATTATCCTCTTCAACATGCACTTCCATGCCAGGTGCCTACAGCTTCCAAATGGGCAGCAGAAAATGAACCCTAGGATTCCATAAAGTTTCTGAGAGCTGATAATGTGAACAGCCACCAGTAAACGAGTTAAGCAGGAAAACCATCTCAATTTACGTCTCCTTCAAGTTCAGCATGCAGCCGACTGCACTTAAGCATAGCAATCAACTGTGATAGAAGAAATCCCAGTTATAGTAAGCAAAGAAATAGCTTCAAGGCAGCAGATAATTGTGCAGGGAGAGAAGGTCAGAACAGGTGAAGAGAAATCCTGCAGGTAGAGAGTGAAAGCTGGGACTCCATTTGGGTGATTTTTAACTACCCTTGCTTATTATGAGTGGCAAAGCTTAATTGATCCCTTTATTTAAATTTACACTGCATGGTGTAAATATGCACATACAAGCAGGTGCACGTGCACACACACACACATACACACACGGCGAACATTTCAAGGCTGTGGAGAAGCACTAACTGATTCCTGATGATGTTTTGAGTGTGATGTCAGTTGCTAACAGTAGATAGTTTATAAAATATGTCTTCTGGGTGATGAGTCTACCAGGTTGATTCTAATTTAAAGCTTCAAACATACTGCAGCATAGAGCTGTCATAAGATAGCCATGTGTATTATTACTGCTATTGGCACTAGGTGATCACTCATTATTTCACCTGGCTTGATTCATGCTTTTGCATGATAATGTGTCATTAACAAATATCAAGTTGGGCTGTCTTGAATTTGGATAAAATTTCCCTTTATTTACAGCTAAGCTATAAATGTGGTTTTTTGTGCAATTATGTACATAAGTCTTCTCCATCTGGAGTATACGTTTTATGAGGACACATACTGTGTTCTATTTTATTGTATACACAATAAAAATCATTGATTGGCTGATAAGAGCAGCAGCTCTCAGCAATAATCTACATATTGACTGTACTGTTTCCAAAGGAACCAACTCAAATACAGGTGCAAATCATGCATGGGTGACATGGTATCAGGACTCTGTATTGCTTATTTCTTCTCAAATCCGTTTTTTTTTTTTTAAGTCACTATTATTTTACCTCAGCAGAGCCCACCTGGTTGGAGACAGTGTTCCTTCAGTGCTTCTCTAGGTGAATCTAAAGGATGCACAACCGCCTCATTCACTCAAGGTAATGACCTTGGGGTTCCAACACTAATCATCTTTACGTAGGAGGGAACACAGTGATGTAGTCTCTCTCACATCATTACCTAGGCCGGCTAAGAGATGCACACTTCAAATGAACAGTTAAAGTGAGGGTAGAAACAGTTACAGAATAATGGAAGGGTGGGGCACAAAGCTAAGCCATATATACCATAGAGATGACAAGATAAACAATCATTATGACATCTGGAAAGCACCTTTGATTTGTATCACCAAATATCAAGATAAGGAAGTCACCTATCTCTAAGTACCACCTATTGACATGCTCCTTCATCTACGGCAGCAGTTGAATTTGGAAGCGCCTTTTCTCTTCTCCATATTTATATTAAAAGAGGTAAATGGTCTGAACCCAGCTTGTTATGGCTGCCTGAATCCTCCTCAGCGCAGACAATTCACAATTGATGAGCTTCGAGCTGATTATATAATCTATGGTCACATCTCTCTCCCTTTTTTTTTATTGGCCAAATTTTGGACCACTGCTGATCATTATACCCTAATCAGAGGTCAAGAGGGAAGGGGTGGGTATTATAAATGAAGTTTTGGTGGCCACATAAAGAGAGAATTACCCATTCAAATGTTTTATAGATTTTTATCACCTAAGTGATCCCATTACTCATGACCACAGATAATCACAGTGTTCAGGTTTGCCTGGTGCCTTTAAGCCACCATATCACCTCACTGAAACTGCATAAAATCAAGCGCTGGGCTAATGATTCTGCAGTACTCATTCTGACACCTGAACTCTCCTTCGCAGATACACTAATTGTCCTAGCTTCTAACTTCATTACCCGCTTTCCTCTCCAATGCCTCACCTCATCTTGAATCGGAGACTCACTATCTCCTTTACTACTGTTCACATGGTCCCATGATGGCAACACCATCAACTATACTAGGAAAATACTTCTCACAGCTCCATCCAGTCCTCAGCATCTCATACCTTTGTGCTCCAGGTTAATAAAACAGGTATTAGAAAGAAGTGACACACGTATATTTAGATGTTGCTGTGAAACTGCAGTACAGTGCCTGACTTGACAACCATGAGCACTGGCAATCTAGTTTACTCATTACCATTTAGGCACGAATCCAGCATTCTTCTTTCACATACTATGAACTTCATCAGTTATTTAACTCTGTAGATATCAGTGAGATTACAGAAGTAGCAGTACTTTGAAGAATTAAACCTAATCTACACGATTTTGGACCATTGTCTATTACATCCTCTAGTGCCATCTCTGAAGGGGCCGATGGATATGCTCTTGTATGAGCTTGTTACCAGAGATAATGTCTCTCTCCCTGAGGAGTGGTACCCTTTGTCTAGGAGATAATAATTAGGTATGCTGTTATATCTTCCTTTTGATATCGTCCATCAGGAATCTTAGAGGCAAATCAAAAGCTCACTCTCAGAAAACATGTCAGGCCATGTAAGAAAGATTACTTGCCACATTACCCTTTTACGGTTTTTATTTTCTATTATTATTTTATTAGTCTTATTGTAAAACTACCTTCTATTGTGAGCTACTTTGCATCCTTTAAAAAGGTGTTACTAGCATTATTTTTCAAAAGAAATTCATCCCATAAATAATACTCAAAGTAAATCTAAATCTCAGATAGCATGATATCCAAAATCAGCTCACTTACCCTGGGAAAAGGAGGAGAAAATTATCAGTATACATATGAGCATTTAGATGGTGACCAAGTCCAAAGGTGATAAGCACGTTCTACACTATGGAGAATTTTACAAAGACTTAAGTTATAGTAACAAGATTGTTTAAGTAAACATAATTAAAAATATCTCATAAACCACAGTTTGAAATGAGAAAGGCCATCAAAATAGTTTAGTGGTTCTACTTAAATTATTGTGTATCTATCTTATCTGTGATATATGCTTCCCTCCCCCGCCCCCGTCTAATGCTGAATTACATTAGTTCTCTGGCTATAACTGGACTTGAACTTTTCAGTTCCAATGAAGCTTTACATTAGGAAACTGATTATGGTGGGGGGAAATGCAGTATGTAGAACCAACCACTATTTGTTCTACACATAATTATCTTCTCTTTCAGCCAAGGATGTAGACTTGGCTCTTGTGTAACTCAAATCTGTGTGGGTGTCGTCTGATTTACAGCAGATGACCTGGCATCATATGAAAATAATTTACTGTGCCATATGTCTCACGGTCTGTAAATCAATAGCTTGAATACAGAGACATCTCAATTAGACAGTGCAAGAAGGGAAGGCAATTTACCTCCTTCTTTCCTATATCATTAAAATGGCAAGTCTTACAAAGCAGTGTTTGTTTTAGAGTTGCTTCAAAAGTGGGGGCTGGATCTATTATTTCAAGTTGGGAGACATAAAGTGAGAGTTGCCATCAAACCAAATGAAAAATCTAGCCCAAGGTTGTATAAGTAATAGCCTGTGAGGGGTGGGACATGCATTTGTTAAACTATTGATTGGTGCGTTTCTACAGCATCTGTGTATTATCATGGGTTCAGAGTGTGCAACAGGGTGTTAAATTATGACTCTGAACACAGAGGAGACATCCATCCTTTCTAACCTGTTCCTCTAAGAAGCCTCTAAACCAAAGTCACAAACATTCATTGTATTAGTCACAAAGAAATAAATCATTTGGAGGCTCAGCTTCAGTTTCTCCCTGCAATGCATCCAAAACTTACACTATCGTTATAAAAGCTTCATAATGAGGAAGTCAAATTATCTATCACTGATCACATCCAAAACCCAAAAGGAAACAGAAGATCCACACAGATTACTCAGAAAAGTTTTAAGGCAACTTCTCAAGCTTGATTCTGCCTGGATAACCCCATGGGGGAGGGGGATAAAACAAAATTAATTCCTTGATTTTGCAAATGGTGAAGTGAACTACAGAAATGAAAGTAAATCGTCTTTCACAGAGTTCCCTTATCTGGTCCCAGGATTGGAACTGTACAAATCTATGCTTTTCCAATGGAATTGAACAGATTTTAAATAATAGGTTGAACTTTCACCTGGTCCCATAGTAACTATAATTGGAAATTGAAAGATTCTGAATGTGCAGGATTAAATCTAACAAATCCTCCTTTCAAATTCAAGTTACATCTTTTTAAAGGAAAGAAACACATTGATTTTAATTTCTTTTAAACCACTGGTGAATATTTGTTTTAAGTACTGAGTAAGAGCTTACTGAAGAATTAGATTCACATTCTCTATCTTAAAATAGAATTATCATCACTGGTAAACTTTCATCCTCCTGGCTGGTCTTTCACAGGGCATTCCTATAGGCCACACCGCAACTACACCTTCCTGGAAGATCCCCCGAAAAGCCATCAAGGAAGAAAAGACAATCAGATCCAAGAAAGCCAAGACTATGGGAGGTGCAAATAGCAAGTTTCAGCAAATTGGCTCAAAAGCTATATGATGGCGGGGCCAGAAGAGAAGGTCTAAGCTGTTGGTAAATTGGCTTCTCAGGTTCGAGAGAAGCTTTCACAATGGAAATTCAAGCAGAAGTGCTATTGGTGCAGGAAGAGATACACCTGCGGAAGCAAGGTGCTCAGTTCAGAGGAGTACCTGGAGAACTGTTGCTGCAGGCCACGCATCTGAACTCTGCTGCGCTCAGACTCCAGCGTCACCTCCTGCAACCGCTTCTCACTCTGAAGACGTAAGTGTCTCTCCTCTTCCAATTCATGCATCAGCTTCTCATGCTATAAAAGGCACAAAGGGAATGACTTTTCAGAAGGTGTTTCTTAATTACTACGAGGAGAAAATAATTAGTAATAGCTGTCCGTTACTAAGTGCTAACTTGGACTTTATATATAAATTAATTTCATCCTCATTACAACCCCATCAAGTAGGTTCTATTATTAACCTCTTATTATAGATAAGAAAACTAAGGATCAGAGACATCTAAGTAATTTGTCATAAAAACCAGAAGGTAGCAGTTTTCAATCCTGCCTGATTTGTCTCTGATGCTTGAATAATTTTCACTAAACCAAATGGCTCCTTGTGCAGATATGAAGATCTATGACCCAATAATACTATCAAATATGTTGTAATTCAAGTAATGATGAGTAATATCATTAGTAGGCTGTTCAGAATTATTTCATCCCTTCAATGTCTGGTGTATGCTTTTATAGAAACATAAGTGATTTTTTAAAAATTTACCATCTTAATTATTTAAAAACTTTTTTAAGTTTATTTATTTATTTTTGAGAGACAGAGAGAGAAAATAAGCAGGGGAGGGAGGAGGTGCCAGAGAGGGAGGGACAGATAGAATCACAAGTGGGCTCTACACTGACAGGATGGAGCCCAATTTGGGGCCCTAACTCATGAAACGTGACATCATGACCTGAGTCAAAATCAAAATCAGTTGCTCAACCAACTGAGCCACACAGGTGCCATGAAATATTACTAATTTTTATACGATGACCTGCAATTTCAACTTAATTAGCCCATGGAGTTGATGAGAATAGGGTGAAATAACTTTTTGTTTGTCTAATTAGGTTTTCACAGATAAAAACAGGCTAAATCATCCATTTTATTAATTATTATCCCAGAAAATGAGCCCATTCACAAATGGGAATCAGGGTTTCAAAGAAGGACTAGATGACCCAAAAATAGATGGTTCAGCAAAAACTCATTCCCAGAACAAGGAGTCAAGTTGGCAAAAGAGGAGAAGAACCTTAATCTTGCCTAAGCCCTTGAACTCAGTTAGATGAATTTCAAATCATTTTTTAGTGTTTTATATATTTCTGAGACAGACAGAGAGACAGCGTGAGCAGGGGACGGTCAGAGGGAGAGACACACACAGAATCTGAAACAGGCTCCAAGCTCTGAGCTACCTGTCAGCAAAGAGCCCGATGCGGGGCTCCAACCCACAAACCGTGAGATCATGACCTGAGCTGAAGTCAGACGCTTAACTGACTGAGACACCCAGGCGCCCCTCAAATCATTTTTTAAATAGTTTATTGTCAAGTTGGTTTCCATCTAACACCCAGTGCTCATCCCCACAAGTGCCCTCCTCCGTGCCCATCACTCCCCTTCCCCTCCCCCCCACCCCCATCAGCCTTGTTTGTTCTCGGCATTCAAGAGTTTCTCATGGTTTGCCTCCCTCCCTCTCCCCAACTTTTTTCCCCTTCTTCTCCCTCATGGTCCTCCATTAAGTTCTTCCTAATCCTCCTATACGTGCAAACATATGGTATCTGTCCTTCTCTGCCTGACTTATTTCACTCGGCATACCACCCTCAAGTTCCATCCACGTTGCTACACATGGCCAGATTTCATTCTTTCTCATTGCCATGTAGTATTCCATGGTATAGATAAACACATCTTCTTGATCCATTCGTCCGTTGATGGACATTTAGGTTCTTTCCATGTTTTGACTATTGTTGAGAGGGCTGCTATGAACATTGGGGTACATGGGCCCCTATGCATCAGCACTGCTGTATCCCTTGGGTAAATTCCTAGCAGTGCTATTGCTGGGTCATATGGGAGTTCTATTGTTAATTTTGTGAGGAACCTCCACACTGTTTTCCAGAGGGGCTGTACCAGTTTACATTCCCACCAACAGTTTAGGAGGGTGCTCGTTTCTCCACATCCTCATCAGTATCTAGAGTCCTCTGATTTGCTCATTTTAGTCACTCTGACTGGCATGAGGTGGTATCTCAGTGTGGTTTCGATTTGTATTTCCCTGATAAGGAGGGATGCTGAGCATCGTTTCATGTGTCTGTTGGCCATCTGGATGTCCTCTTTGGAGAAGTGTCTGTTCATATCTTCTGCCCATTTCTTCACTGGGTTGTTTGTTTTTCAGGTGTGGAGTTTGGTGAGTTCCTTATAGATTTTGGATATTAACCCTTTATCTGATATGTCATTTGCAACCTATCTTTTCCCATTCCTTCGGTTGCCTATTAGTTTTATGGATTGTTTCCTTTGCCGTGCAGAAGCTTTTAATCTTGATGAGGTCCCAATAGTTCATTTTTGTCTTGATTCTCCTGCCTTTGGGGATGTGTCCAGTAAGAAATAGCTACGGTTGTGGTCAATAAGGTTGTTTCCTGCTTTCTCCTCTAGGGTTTTGATGGTTTCTTGTCTCATATTCAGGTTTTTTTTATCCATTTTGAGTTTATTTTGGTGTATGGTGTGAGAAAATGATCGAGTTTCATTCTCTGCATGTTGCTGTCCAGTTGTCCCAACACCATCTGTTAAAGAGGCTGTCTTTTTTCCATTGGATACTCTTTCTTGCTTTGTCATAGATTAAAGGAACAAGAGGGAGAGCAACAAGAGCACCCCAAACTCAGTAGGAGAAAAGAAATACTAAAAATAAGGGCAGAAGTAAACAATATAGAAACCAAAGAAACAGGTGAACAGATCAATGAAACCAAGAGTTGGTTTTTGGAAGAGATAAACAGAATTGACAAATTTCTAGCCAGGCTTCTCAAAAAGAAAAGAGAGAGCACTCAAATATACAAAACCATGAATGAAAAAGGATGTATTACAACCAACCCCTCAGAAATACAAACAATTATCAGGGAATACTATGAAAAATTATATGCCAACAAATTGGACAACTTAGAAGGAATGGAAAAATCCTAACACACACTCACTACCAAAATTCACATGGGAAGAGATAGAAAATCAGAACAGACCCATAACTAGTGAATAAATTTATTGTGTTATCAAAAATTTCCCAACAAATAAGAGCTCTGGACCTAATGGCTTGCCTGGGAAATTCTACCAGACATTTAAAACAGAGTTAATATCCATTCTTCTCAAGCTATTCCAAGAAACAGAAATCGAAGGAAAACTTCCAGACTCGTTTTATGAAGCCAACATCACTTTGATTCCCAAGCCAGACAGAGACCCAGCAAAAAAAGAGAACTACAGGCCAATAGCTTGATGAATACAGATGCAAAAATCCTCAACAAGATACTTGCAAATCAAATCATTTTGAACACCCAAGAAATCAGTCTGAGGACTGAGGAAACAAAACTGCACAACCAGAGGTAGAAAAATGTCCACATCATGGAAAGTAGGAGCTGCAGAGAGTTGACTTGGGGGAGAAAAGAACTGTGGGTGCTGTCATGGGGAGTGAGCACTGATGAGAGAGAGAGGAGTGAGAGAGAAAGAGAGAGAAAGAATGGACGCATGCACAGGGGCTTCACAAGAAAAACTCTTCCCCAAAACCACTGACCAGGAAAAGGAGAGGGGATGACTTCCACAAGTTTTTCTAAGGAGTGGAGCACAGCATCTGAAGATTTGGAGGTCAGCACCGTTGCCACGGTTGTGTCTGGTGGGCTTGGCAGCACTCAGGTGGGGAAGGAAGGTGGAGACCCAGACATGGGCAGCATGGTCTGAGGCTCTGCTGGGTCGCAGGCAAAGAAACAGTTCTCCTGCTTGGATGCATCTGGGAGTGGAGGCACGGCTTCTGTGGGAGCGAAAGAATTGACGGCACCAACATGCTGCCCTGTTTTCTAGCACAGGAAACAAGACACTGAGTGAGAGCAGCAAACTTGGGTGCTGGCTTTGTGCTGCACTTCACCATAAACTCTTAACGACTGCCCAACTGTGTAACCAATTTCTGAGACTAATCAGCACTGGCCACTGTGCAGTGAGACCCTCCTTCAAAGGATCAGTGCAGGTCAGTACCCAGCAAATCTCTAAAATGTGAAGTTCTCAAACCCAGCCATGAGCATGCAATAAAACACAGGAGTACTGTGCCACCTGGCAGGCAGACATCTCAGGCGCAGGCAAGGTGCAGGCAGGGAACTGGCAGAAGCCAGGGACACAAGAGAGCTGACTGTCTGCTCTTCTGTGGGGGATTCCTGAAGAGTGGTGGGCAGTTGTCCATCTGGGGGCAACAGAGTGGGGTGATGCCATTTTGCTCCATGCCCATCGCACTGACCAATCTCAGGGAGCTAAACAGCAACACCCCATGCAGACTGGAGCCACTTACACCAAACCCCACCCCCCTGTGCCCTGCAGGGGCATCTCCACTAGTTCAAGTCCTCCTGAGAGTCAGCACAGCAGGCCCCACCCCTAGACCAGCATAAACCCTTCACATGCACCAAGTCTAATGCTCATTGAGTGCTATAAAGTTTCAATAAAGCTTCAGCTCTAGGAGAAAGAGCATCTAGCTTCCTTTTTTCTTCCTTTTTTTTTTTTTTTCTGGATCTAGCTTCTTTCAACAAGCAGACCAAAACACATCTATGATCTAGTTTCCTTTTTTGGTGGTGGTGGGGTACAGTACCTCTTCTTACTATAGGAATTATGTTCAAGAACAGAAATACAATAGGCTTTCCTAACAATCACACACACTCAAAAACAGTATCCCAGACAAAATGACAAGATGGAGGAATCCACCCCAAAATAAAGAACAGTAAGTAGTCACAGTCAGGAATTTAATTATACATTAAAAAAACAACAACTAGGATGTCTGAACCAGAATTTAAAACAATAATCATAAATATACTAGCTAGGCTTGAGGAAAGCATAGATGGCACCGGAGAAGCCCTTAATAGAGAGAGAAAAGAACTAAAAACTAGTCAGACTGAAATAAAAATTCCTATAACTGAGATGCAAAACCAAATGGATGCAATTACAACCAGGATGGACAAAACGGGGAAACAAATCATTGATATAGAAGAAAAAATTATAGAAAATAATGAATCTGAAAAAGAAAGAAGTACTGGATCATAAATGTAGACTGAGG